AACTATAAAACATTTCTTAAGCTTTGTATCAAAACCATTTCGATAGGTCATGAGCGAATTGTTGAAGTGCTACTTAAAAACGGAGCAAATGTGAACGATCAAAATGACGACGGAGAAAGTGCCTTGATTTGGGCTTCGATTCAAGGTAATGCAATCGAAATTCACTTTAGTCACACTTTCGAAATATAGAGAATAATATTGGAATCTCATTGTCACTCAGGTCACTCAAATGTTGTTGAGTTACTGATAAAGAATGGTGCAGATTTTAATTTAAAAAATAAGCACGGAAATTCACCAATACATGGTGCCGCATATTACGGTAATTTGAAGTTCAATAAATTTCTCTAGAAAATATAAATTACAAAACTATTCTCGAACTTTGTATCAAAACCATTTCGATAGGTCAAGAGCGAGTTATTGAGCTTCTACTCAAAAACGGATCAAATGTGAACGATCAAAATAAGGATGGAGAAACTGCGTTGTATTTGGCTTCGGAAAGAGGTAGTTCAATTGAAATTCACTTTTGTCACTCTTTCAAAATGTAGAGAGTAATATTGGAATCACATTTTCACTTAGGTCACTCAAATGTAGTTGAGTTATTGATTAAGAATGGAGCAGATATTAATGTGAAAGATGACGTCGGATGGTCACCAATTTATGCAGCAGCTTTATATGGTAAATGCATACTATGTTTCTAGCTAGCTATTTATATCAGCTATTGCTATAGCGATATAAAAATAGCTGCTATTTAACGTATCTCTTCGCTCGGACGCTGTGTATGCGGACATAACAATGGTCTCATTGTTTGAAATGTTTAACATTTTAAATCATTTTCTAACAATGACATCATTGTTATGTCGAGTATACGCAGCATCAGAGCGAAGAGTTGCGTTAAATAGCAGCTATTTTTATATCGCTATAGCGATAGCTGATATAAATAGCTAGCTAGCAACATTGTATGGGTAAATGGTCATATTTAATTACTTAAAATGCTTTTTTCTTGAAAATATGTAATAGAAGAAGGCATACTTTAAATTGAAATGTATTAACAAAAGAACATGAACATTTTATCAATTCAAGGACATGAACGTGTTGTTGAATTATTGATCACAAATGGTGCCCTTGTAAATATCAAGAATCAGATCAGATGGACACCTTTAATGGCTGCCGCTAGAGAAGGTGATTTAAAAATCAATAAAATATAAATCACAAAACAAATTGAATTTTGTAACAAAACCATTTCCATAGGTTATGAGCGAATTGTTGAAACTCTACTTGAAAACGGAGCAAATATCAACGATCCAAATAACATAGGAGAAACTGCCTTGTATTGGGCTTCGGGTAGAGGTAATTCAATTGAAATTCACTTTAGTCACCGTAAGTCACACTCGAAGTATGGAGAATAACATTGGAATCTCATTTTCACTCAGGTCATTCAAATATTGTTGAGTTATTGATTAAGAATGGTGCAAATATTAATTTCAAAGATAAATACCAATGGACAGCAATTTATATAGCTTCTTCCAATGGTAAATAATCATATTCAATTTCTTAACATTATTTTTTTTTTCAACATGTATAGAAGAAAGCGCTATTTTGATTGAAATCCAGAGAAATCTATATTTTGGCGTTTTAAAAAACTGTATAATCAAAGTTATAGATCCCCTGTGATTCAATTAATCACTGAAATAATTAAATCTCTTATTTCTCGAGGTCACTTAAATGTTGTTGAGTTATTGATTAAAAATGGCGCAGATATTAATTTGAAAGATAACAACGGATGGTCACCAATAATTGCCGCCGCTCGAAAAGGTCACTTCAAAATAAAAAAACCTATCTGCAAAATATAAATTACACAATATTTTTTGAATTTTGTAACAAAATCATTTCCATAGGTCATGACGGAGTTGTTGAAGTTCTACTAAAAAACGGAGCAAATATGAACGATCGAAATAATAACGGAGAAACTGCCTTGTATATGGCTTCGGAAATAGGTAGTTCAATTGGAATTCACTTTAGTCACACTTTCGAAATATAGAGAATAATATTTGAATCTCATTTAATCTCAGGTCACTCAAATGTAGTTGAACTATTGATTAAGAACGGTGCAGATATTAATTTGAAAGATATCGAGGGAGGGCCACCAATTTACGCAGCTTCTGTAAATGGTGAATGATCATATTTAATTACTTAAAATGCTTTTTTCCTCAAATAACGTAATGGAAAGGAGCTTATTTGAAATACGGTATTTCACATCGAAATGTATTAACAAAAGAACATGAACATTTTATCAATTCAAGGACATGAACGTGTTGTTGAATTACTGATCACAAACGGTACCCTTGTAAATATCAAGAATAAGTACGGATATTCACCAATACATGGTGCTGCAGATAAAGGTGATTTAAAGTTCAATAAATTTCTCCAGAAAATATAAATTATAAAACATTTCTTAAGCTTTGTATCAAAACCATTTCCCTAGGCCATGAGCGAGTTATTGAAGTGCTACTTAAAAACGGAGCAAATGTCAACGATCAAAATATCGATGGAGAAACGGCATTGTTTTGGGCTTCGAAAGAAGGTTATCAAACTGAAATTCACTTTAGTCACACTTTCGAAATATAGAGAGTAATATTGGAATCTCATTTTCACTCAGGTCACTCAAATGTGGTTGAGATTTTGCTTAAGAATGGCGCAGATATTAATTTGAAAGATAACAACGGATGGTCACCAATAATTGGCGCCGCTCAAGAAGGTGATTTGAAGTTCAATAAACGTCTCTATAAATTATAAATTACAAACATCTTAAGCTTTGTATCAAAACCATTTCGATAGGTCAAGAGCGAGTTATTGAGCTTCTACTCAAAAACGGATCAAATGTGAACGATCAAAATAACGATGGAGAAACTGCGTTGTATTTGGCTTCGAAAAGAGGTAGTTCAATTGAAATTCACTTTTGTCACTCTTTCAAAATGTAGAGAGTAATATTGGATCACATTTACACTTAGGTCACTCAAATGTAGTTGAGTTATTGATTAAGAATGGAGCAGATATTAATTTGAAAGATAACAACGGATGGTCACCAATTTGCGCAGCTTCTGTAAATGGTAAATGATCATATTTAATTACTTGAAATGCTTTTTTCCTCAAATAATGTAATGGAAAGGAGCTATTTCACATTGAAATGTATTAACAAAGGGACATGAACATTTTATCAATTCAAGGACACGAACGTAATGTTGAAATACTGATCACAAATGGTACCCTTGTAAATATCAAGAATAAGATCGGATATTCACCAATACATGGTGCTGCAGACAACGGTGATTTAAAATTCAATAAATTTCTCCAGAAAATATAAATTATAAAACATTTTTTGTATTTTGTAATAAAACCATTTCCCTAGGCCATGAGCGAGTTATTGAAGTGCTACTTAAAAACGGAGCAAATGTCAACGATCAAAATAACGATGAAGAAACGGCATTGTTTTGGGCTTCGAAAGAAGGTTATCAAACTGAAATTCACTTTAGTCACACTTTCGAAATATAGAGAGTAATATTGGAATCACATTTTCACTCAGGTCACTCAAATGTAGTTGAGCTTTTGCTTAAGAATGGCGCAGATATTAATTTGAAAGATAATAACGGATGGTCACCAATAATTGGCGCCGCTCAAGAAGGTGATTTAAAGTTCAATAAATTTCTCTAGAAAATATAAATTACAAAACTATTCTCGAACTTTGTATCAAAACCATTTCGATAGGTCAAGAGCGAGTTATTGAGCTTCTACTCAAAAACGGATCAAATGTGAACGATCAAAATAAGGATGGAGAAACTGCGTTGTATTTGGCTTCGGAAAGAGGTAGTTCAATTGAAATTCACTTTTGTCACTCTTTCTAAATATAGAGAGTAATATTGGAATCACATTTTCACTTAGGTCACTCAAATGTAGTTGAGTTATTGATTAAGAATGGCGCAGGTATTAATTTGAAAGATAACAACGGATGGTCACCAATTTACGCAGCTTCTGTAAATGGTAAATGATCATATTTGATTGCTTAAAAGCCCTCAAATTATCCATGGATAAACAAAAGAACTAGATACATCAAAATTTAATCAATTCAAGGACATGAACGTGTTGTTGATTTACTGATCATAAATGGTGCTCTTGTAAATATCAAGAATCAGAACAGATGGACACCTTTAATGGCTGCCGCTCAAGAAGGTGATTTAAAAATCAATAAAATATAAATTATAAAACATTTTTGACAACCACCATGAGTCCGTGTATATTAATATAGGCGAGAAAAAAGTCGCAAAATAATGCGCCATCTGTTGATGTGGTTATTAATGTATGTAATTACAAAGACGGAATTATTGGATGGCGTCTTAACTAAATTTTCATATCGTTTGTTTTCAACCACAATTCGTACACGTCTCCAGATAGCGTTTTTACAATATGACATCTCTCAGTCATAATGGTTGATTTTTGAATTTTGTAATTTAAAATCATTTCCATAGGTCATGAGCGAATTGTTGAAGTGCTACTTAAAAACGGTGCAAATGTCAACGATAAAAATGACGACGGAGAAACTGCCTTGTATTTGGCTTCGCGTAAAGGTATTTTTGAATGAACCTATATTTGTCATATTTCTTATGAATTAACACTAACAAGTCAAACTAATTTCTATTCACTCAGAAAATAGGAAAATAATTGAACTTCTAAGTATTCGGCCCTCAGAAAATGGTAATGATCATTTTATATAAACCATTTTTCAGATCGCTTTGGACACGCATTTTAAAAAAAAATTCGTGTTCAATTTTTCGTTTAGCCTGTGTCCGCCATTCAACGGATCGTATTGTAACTGTTGAATTGGTCCCAGACGATGAAAATCCACAGATTTTTGTATTTGCAAGAAATTATTCAGGGGATCGAAGTTTTAATGGTGAATTAGCTGAAAATAATGAATTCCCTTGGATGGTTGGTATTTCATGTTGAATATTTTCTAACATTCTGATTAAACTTATTTCACATATTCTCAGTAAGGAATTCTATGTTAATATATACACTTCTTGTTAAAAATGGGTTCACAAAAGAGAAATCTGATTATTTATATATGTATGAACTATATATAACTTAAAATGCTTTTTAACTCCTTTTATTTCTTAGGCAGCATTGGTCTATTTCGACGAGGATTATAAGGTGTCCTTCGATTGTGGTGGTACAATCATTTCGAACAAATTTGTGCTGACGGCAGCACACTGTATGAGTCGGAGACAACCGATAATGGTTCGAATGGGAAGGGTAAGAAAAGAAATACACTGCAATACTTTATTTCAAAATAATAATAATAATATCAATATGAAACAGGTGTCTTTGAAAAACGGAAATAATGACGCAATTAAAGCAACTAATCATGAAATTGAGGTTACTATTGCTGGTATTTTGTAAGAGAAATTAAATATTAATTAGAATTATTTTGAACAGGGGATCATCGTTAACCCACGTTATGATCGTGACACGAAAGTGAATGACATTGCTTTGATTCGGGTCAAAAACACAATCCAATTTTCAAGTTACATTAGGCCAGCTTGCTTACAAACAAATTTGCATGACATACCATCGGATGTGAAGCTCACTGTAACCGGCTGGGCAACTACATCAGCTGAACGTAGGCTATATTATTTTAATTTTTAGCATGAAAAATTAAACTAATTTTAACTTAATTATATTGGAATTAAAGAGAATGTGCAATCAGAGATCCTGCTCAAAACGGAATTGATTACGATGCCCCTATCGGAATGCAACTCAACAATGATGGAATGGAATCGTGAGCCAAATTTGCCAACACATCGAAACGGTCTGATTCAAGGACAGTATTGTGCACATGACCCTCAAGGAAAAAACGACACTTGCTACGGAGACACTGTTGGGCCATTGCAATATTTCCCAAACAATGAAACATCGCTGGCCACGGTGGTTGGCATTGTATCGTTTGGTCAAAGCTGTGGTCTTGCTTTATCAACCATTTTCACTAGGGTCGCATATTACTTGGACTGGATCGAAGGAATTGTTTGGCCCAACGTATAAGGCACCAAATGATTTGAATTTGGATGAACGAAAACACTTTTAATGAATAATTTTTTTTAGTTCTCTTTCTCATTCGACCAAATGTATATGATTTTTTGAACATTTTTTTAATTGAATAAAATGAGAATAATTTTTCATGCATAACAGCTGTTTGATATCGATTATGACATCAGCATAATGAAATTAATATTTTCTGTAGCAGTGTATGGGAAATAGCAACTGCTAATTCTAGTGTTGTTTGAATTTGAAATGCTTGATTGTGTCTTTCTGCGAACACCAAAAGTCGAAAGAGTCGTAACCCTTTGCAAACCACAGGATAGTTTTGCCACTCTAATGTATTGTGCTTTACAAAATTCATTGAACAGTGCAGTTACGCAAATTTTGAATCTTAAGATCTTCAACTTAATGAATTTTTTTTTTTTAAAGAGGTTGAACAATCATATTGGCAAGACATGTTAAACAATTGCTATGGCGAAATGTGTAAATATCTTTTTTAAATAATTTAATGAGAGAAGAAAAGAGAGAGAAAGTGTAAATGGAAGATATTCATAATCTTAACATGGTGATCATAACGCAAACAAGTAAAGAGACTCAACTATAGCATAATATGTGATCGAAACTGTTATCAGCATGTGCTGATGTGTATAGCTTTCATATTTACACTTTTGAAAGCGTGTCATTATCATGGGCTATATAGCGTATGAAGTAATGCTAAACCAAATTTGGTAATCAGTACGATTTGTTCCTTCCTTTATTGAGGTTCAATTCAGAAAAGTTGCTATTTAAAGCGAGTTAAAGTTCTTTTTTGTTGTTTTTTCAATTAATTCTTTTTCATTTATTAAATATATAAATATTCAATTTTAAACAAATCGAATTAAGTTTCGATTCGAACGATGAATTCCTTCATCCTAATCATTTTATATTTTTGTGCAATTACGATCAGTGGCATTCCAGGTACATTTTATATAATTCACTAGAGAAGAAAATTATATAATATTTTTTAGTTTATTATATCAAACGAAATTAATTTTGTAATTGTTCATTTTTTTAATAATTTTATTTAAAATCAATCTGCTCCCCTTGTGGAAAAAAATGACTGACTGACTATAAATTAAGTCAATTTTAATCACTTTTATTCGGTTAAAATTACCAATAGATGATTGAAATCGAATATAGTCGGTTATGTTTCAGAGTCAACTAAAAGAGATTATAGTCAACATAGTTGACAAAAGTCAATTTCATATACTTATAGTTAATCGTATTTAACTATGATCACAATCGACATTTCTCAACTCAAATTAAACGAAGACGCATATAGTCACTTATAGTTAACTTTAGCTGGCTGAAATATCAGCCATTTTTGTCCCAAATTAGTCAATTTTCAGTCGACTATGAAGTCGAAATATTTCCACAAGGGTCTCCAATTGACATCCGTTCTATTCGGACCTTCGCAACACACTGCTCTGTGTGACGGCACTGCCGTCACATTTACAATCATGCCTTGTGTGCGTGTGATACGCTGTTGTGTTGTTTTTAAAATATATTTGTGTTTGTGTGGTGTGGGAAACACTACATTTCCCTCCCCCAGTTTTTTATTTAATGAGGAAAAAAAACTTATTTCTAATTTTTGATCGCTTATAATTATTTCAATTTCTCTTTCAATTTGTTCATAGATTGATTAGAATTATTGTTATTCATTACTTCGAATTTTCTCATTTTAGATAAAGTAAACAAAAAAAATTATTTGATAAGGAAAAAAAATAAATCTAATTCTCGGCTGCATTCGATAATTTAGTCAAGTTCTTATGAATTTTGAGTTTTCTACCTCTTTTTCGGTAAACGACATATTGGTCAGACGGCACCGAATCAACCACAAATGGACCAATAAATTCATCAGAGAATTTTCCGTTTTTGTGTTGTTTTTTAATTAAAATGGAATCACCCGGCACATATTCAACAGGCGAAATGCGAACATCGTGAGCCCTTTTATTTGCCCGCTTTCTCTTGGAAATGTTTTCGGCGGCAATTTCAAGTGATTGTTTGATACGTAAACGAGTGTCCTCGACGTAATTATCGTATGTATATATAGGAGTGTTGGACAATAAGGATCTTGGAATTCGAACTGCTTCACCATAAACAAGTTCATGTGGTGGAAATCCAGTGGCAGTACTGACAGTGTTATTTATGGTGAAAAGAGCAAATGGAACAATTCTGTGCCACTCTGTAGCATGTTGTTTTGTGAATGCTCGCATGTATTGATTCAATGTTCTGTGTTGTCTCTCAACAATATTGCTTTGAGGATGATACGGCGTTGAAAAAATTTGTTTAATTTTGAGCTTCTTGTTGAGAGCCTTAAACAATTCAGCGTTAAAATTTTGTGCATTGTCTGAAGTCAACAATGTAGGAAAATTGAATGGCAATAATACATTATTAACCAAACATTCCGCGGTTATTTCAGCGTTGCAATCTTTAGTTGGAACTGCTATGACAAATTTAGTGAGATCACAGGTTGCCGTGAAAAGGTATTTGTGCCCATCAGAACTCTCAGGCGAAATTGGTCCAACAAAATCAATGAAAATATGTTCGAATGGTCGAGAACCGACGCTAGTTATCATCAATGGTTGGCGAGTGTTTCTGATGACTTTAGTTTTTTCACATGACGGCCTTAGAAGAAAACAATAACATACAGAACATGCTGCAAATAATACTAATACAAATTTTATGAGAGCAAAAACCAAATATATAAAGAGACAGCGCAAAAGGCAAATGCAAAGCCAGCCTAATTACATAAGAAACACATGTAAGTAGGCTGGTTTTGCATTTGCCTTCTGCGCTGTCTCTTTATATATTTGTTTTTTGCTCTCATAAAATTTGTATTAGTATTATTTGCAACATGTTCTGTATGTTATTGTTTTCTTCTAAGGCCGTCACATATTAAGAAACGCTTGACAAAATCGATTATATCTTTGTTCATTGTTGGCCATTTATAGAATTTACCGATTGTTCTTTTCATTCTCTCAATGCCAGTGTGACCACCGAGCATTGAATCATGATATAATCGCAAAACTTGATTGATGTGTTCAATATTTGTTAATTCAATTATCTGTCTGGCAAAATTAACGTCAGACATATTTTTTTATAATGTTTTGTTAGAAAATGAAATACTTTCAAATGTCGTACAAATGGGTTCATCATGAAAGTGTGAAAAATCTTTTCTCGAGTACTTCTGCTATTAAAATAAAGAATATTTCGATGCCAAGGTTTGAACATATTTTTTGGTCTCGAACTTCACGCCGCTTGAAAGGCTTGAAAAATCGAACAAATATTATTTTGAACTTGCTTAATAAAATACGCAAATACCACCGTGCGGAAAAGTTCGTCTTACTCCCGTAAGAAGACTCTTTATTTATTTTTAAATCCAATGAGATACCTTAATTTTTACATTTGCGACCTGTGACACTTGAAACGTAGTAAACAAATTTCCTATCACCACGAAGGTAACCTTTAAAAAATATATATGTATTGTTGTGCAATGTACATGCGAATTGTGAATATAAGTTTACATCACAAATAAAGCGAAAAATAAGTCGATTGTAGCTGCAGCTTTGATTGGCATTCAAAAAAGTATGATTAATATAGACTGACCCCCAAAACACAAAAGTTCGAAAATTACCGGTTCTACCCCCGCATATTGTTCCATATGATGTGTAGAACTTTTGTGTTTTGGGAGCCAGCCTAATATCCATACGTTATTTATTCAATGTGTGATTTTGATGCGAGTATTAATATGCAAGTGATCATTCTTTCGGGAGTTTTACATTGAATAATTTCATTATAAGAATAGTGCTCTCGAGTTATTTGATAGAATCCAATAAGTTCCGTCAGTGAAAATTTCCATTCAAGAACTCGTGCAGTGGTAATATCAAATACCAAACATGAAGACGAGATTCTTATTTGTGATCGTTCTCTTCATTGCTGTAGATATTTTTGCGAAAAGTATTCAAGGTAAGCTTAATGAATTTAAATGTAATTTTGTAAATAAAATAAAGAGTCTTACTTTAAAACCGATGGGATGAAACCTTAATCCGTTTTATTATTTTCTAATTAAAAATCCAAATGGATTCGAAAAAAATCTGAAAAGATTCTAAAATTGAATTAAATCGAAACAAGTACATCAATCATGCAAATTGATGTCCAATTACCATAAAACATAGTATAACCCAGTATAAGTTACGGCGTATACGTTGTGAGAAAAATGTAATATTAATAAAAAGTTTTATCATGATTATTTCTTTAAATAATTCAATGAACTTTATTTATTTTGGTTGCACTATATTAGTGAAATTAGAAAAAAATTATTGAAATTTGTTTGAAATAAATACTTAATTTTTGGATGTAGCACACGTGAATTACATATTTTCCGTGTTTTTTTGGAGATTTCAGTCGAAATAAATCTGATTCAATATTCCTATTATCAACATTGAGGCAAACGTGTCATATTTTAAATTCAAGTTCTGGATGTATTGACAATAAGTACAAAACACTTCTTTCGAAGTTCCCAATGTGACGCAATACTGCACTGAAGCCATGACTGTATGATATCGTAATGACGTGAAACTTTGCACAGACTATTATTTACTCACAAAAATAACATTCTGAAAGTTGGAAGAATTTTTATTACAAATTTTTCGTTTTTGAGCCAAAAATCGAAAATTTTATATGGGAGGTACTCTTATTTTTAATTGAAAGTTCTTCAAACTCTCAGAATGATATTTTCTTGTGAAAAAATGGCCTTTGCAAAGTTTCACGTCATTGAGATATCATTTAGTCATTGAATCCATACATACATTTTTGGTGATTTTACCTTTCCATATACACCCACACCACATATTTTTATATTTTGAATTATCTATACGTCAATAGTCTATTAATATATTAATTGGTCAAAAAACCTTATTGCTCTCATAAATTACAATTTGGTAGTTATTGAATTTGCGCTGCACTACCAGTACACGTTCAATATCTCTCGGGAAATAAATATTCAATTGGCACAGAAAGAAATTTGGAAACAGTGCGGAAAAGTTAGACTTTCGGATGTAAGTTCCTTTTTATTATCATTTGTGTTTACATTGAATTAGAGTTTTCTGTTTGCTCTCGAATTTTTTTCTGCATTTTCAATTGTTTTTGTAAAATTTGGTCACCAAATCTATTCAAAACTAATTGTATCAATGTTTTAATTCATTTTCTTCAATTGAATAAAGCCCTCAAAAAATCATTTCTCAAAAAGATTGCCCCCATTGGATTCCTTGAGTCTGAATTATGTGATAACAGTTGTTATAGTGAACAAAAATTATAAAATCCAAGTATGTTGTACAGTAAAACCTGTCAATAACGGAACCTGATAATAGTGGAATTCTTGTCAATAGTGGAAAAAAAATTCCGCCGTTGAGCTCTTCCATACAAAATGACCTGTTAATAATGGAAAATGGCAAGAAAACGCTCACCCCGAATAGTGGAAAAATCATTTTTGACAAAAAAAAATTTTCTGTTACAAATGGATTTTTACGTCGATATCATAGCATGATGCCAATATCAGTTTCAAATTTCATTAACTCAAATCTCTGTTTATTCAAACACAATGATTTTCGACTAATTTTTTGTCACATGAGAATGCAAATTCAGTATACACTACATAGCTTCAACGTTTATTTTTTTGGAATTTACTGTTTATGCTGCTTGGTTGTTTGGAAGTCGTTTTGTAAACATAAATTCTAAGAAACCAAATTTTGGTTTTATGGTCGCTCAATAGTCGGTACGTCTGTCGTAAAGCTGTGCATTATTGATCGTAGTGTGCTACATATTTTTCGAAAAATGAATAACAATATACTGACATTTGCATTACTTCAGTACATAAACATGTAATTTCTTTCATATTTTTCATTAAACAATCATAAAAGTATATGAATTTTTCCCAATAGTGGAAAATTATTTTCGAATTGATCTGAAAGTCTGTCAATAATGGAACCTGATAATAGTGGAATTCTTGTCAATAGTGGAAAATAAATTTTCCCCATGGGATTCCGTTATTGACAGGTTTTACTGTAGTTGGTTAATAAAAAAAAATTAAAAAGGTGGTCGGCCAAATACCAGGGACCGGTTCGCGCATATTTCTATGCCTGATAGCTATGCTAAGCAAGCGGAGACGCAAGCTGCAACGCACCCGTCGCCATTCGATTCGAGCTATATTGTATGCGTACGTCTCTCAATGCACGGTCGCCTGCATACATGTTCGTTGTATTGTTCATATAGAGTGAACGGCGATGCGTCGGTTGCGTTTGCGGCTATGCTTGGCATATCTATGCTACCTAGCGCGAACCGGTCCCTGCCAAATACACACTTTTCCCAATTTTGACCAATTTTGAAAAATGTTGGTTTTAAAAAATGTGCACATTGGTTCAAAATTGGGTGTTCTTTCGATCTATGATAAAAAAAATCGTTATTCACACATTTTTTTAACAAAAATACGATTTTCATCGATTTTTCCCCATTTTTTAATAGTACTAGCAACTACTCGCGCGCTCGTAGCAGCTACCTCATGCAAATAGTATACTGAAAACAAACTGTTTTTTTTCTTTTCATGTTGGACGGTTACTCGCTCGCTTCGCTCGCTCGTAACCTTACCCTTTATTTATCAGAGTTCTCAACGGGCTCCCGAACCCGACGCCCGACCGATGGTCGACCGAGTCCCAACAGGAAGTAATCGGTCGGACTCGGATTTGGTTGAGAATTAAAAATATAAATATCAAAAAAAAAGTCATTCAGTTCAACATTTTATAATTCTTTGTTTTTATAAATGTTTCGTTGTGTGTGATCGACATTTCAACGAACGGTAAGATTTTCACACAATTCACTTCTTTTTCCGTAAAAGTCGGTCGACGTTCGGATTCTAATAGGCAATTGTCGGGATACGGGCGGACTCGAATCACAAAAATGTGGCCCGTTGAGAACTCTGTTATTTATACAAAACTATTATTTTAAACCATAATGGAGTTGAATTAATAGTACCTACTTCGCCGTTGAGCCGTGACATCTCAGTGTATATTTTTTTCGCAAAAAAACGCCTGATTCGTGATCAGACGATCCCATAGCCAAGGTTATTACCCTCGCCGTGTTTGTTTTTCAATTTTCTCATATTTCTGCTACACCCTAATGTGTGCCCAAGTTCTTTGAAAAATACTGGACATGCGGTGGCTTCTTCCTCTGCTTTGCACAGCAGCGGTTCCCAACCAATGTCCTGGTCGAGTAATTTTTTATAATTTTTTGAAGACATGACGAACTTGAATGTGCGTTAGATCACCACAAGTAAATTATGTTAAATGAATACTTTGCTCAAAAACCTATCAAACAATAAATGGAAAGTATACTGGGATTGACATTTCAAATTAATATTTTCCAATTAATATATTCCATTAGAAATGTCTCTTCTTGCTTTTAATGTGTTTTTTCCAATACATGAGTTTTTTGGAGGCATTTTTAAAGAAAGTATACACCTTTTCACAAACACAACTTTTCTTGTTCATTCAATAATTAAACATAACAGAACAAACGAAATGACAATAAAAACAATGTATACTCATTACCTACATATTTAAATGTAATCACTGACCCAAATAATTATGTTAAATGATGTTTTACCACGATGTACCATGATGTTCGACTTCAAAAACCGTTTTAACACGGTCCATCGTGGTAGACCATCACGGTCAACACGGTCTACCATCGTTGAAAATAGTTAGAGTTGTTTAAATCGATAAAAATTTTCAATTACCACCGTTTAACACGGTCCATCATGGTCGACCATCACGGTTAACACGGCCTACCATCGTTGGAAATTGATTAGAATTGTTTAAATCGATAAAATTTCTGATTTACCACTGTTTAACACGGTTCTAACACGGCCTACCATCGTTGAAAATTGATTAGAATTGTTTAAATCGATAAAATTTCTGATTTACCACTGTTTAACACGGTTCATCGTGGTCGACCATCATGGTTAACACGGTTTACCACGGTCCATTCTCACCTTTTAACAATAAAATGTGCAAAATTTAGACAAAATACGGTAAAAATACGGTTTTTTGACCATAATGACTGTGTTAGACCACGATGGTCGACCGTGATGGTGCCTATGTTCACCGCCGGGCCGAGACCTTTCCAACGGTACCCTTTTTATCCGCATCGGTTGAGGTGTTTGGACGCCAACCCCGGACATACATACATACATACATACATACATACTTTCTGATTTATAGATATAGAAGAAGAAGATGGTCATAAATGGATTGAACTATATCCACTGAAATTTTTTCAAAATTTCTTCGCTGTATGCTCAAGGGAAGCTCAATATCTTGCCAAAGTGCCAAAAATGACGTATTTTTGTTGAAAAACACTCGGTATACTCCAATCGAAGAATAATCTAAAAATCGAAAATTTTCGGAAAAAAAAATTATTTTGAAGAAAAATAAAATGTCTTACATCCGTAAGATGAACTTTTCCGCACTGTGATCCGCAACATGCATTTATTACATATGTTTTACTCGAAGAATTTACGAGAAAACTGAATCTGTCATTAGTTTTAAGATACAAATAATTTTCGACGCAATTTTCATATAAAAACTACTAAAAATGGGAATTTTCGTATCGAAGCCATGCCTATATGATATCGTAACCATGTGAAAATTTGCCGAGATTTTTTTTCCCAAAAAGCCGACATTCTAAATGTTTGAAAAAATTTCAATACAACTTAGGGGTACATTCCACACAAAATTTTCTTTTTTGAGTAAAAAATCCAAAATGTTGTTCGTGAGGTACCTCTAATATGCATTGAAATTTCTTCAAACTCTCAGAATGTTATTTTTGTGTGATATAAATAACCTGTGCAAAGTTTCAGCTTATTACGATATCATAGAGGCATGGCTTTAATACAAAAATCCAATTTTTTTGAAATTTTTGTATGAAAAGTGTGTCGAAACTAATATTAGATTCTGTTTTCTCGTGCCAAAAAACCCCCAATACATATTTTTAAGTGTTTAAGTATACATTAAATATCACTTCTGGAAGAAAAATTACACACTAGGTGTGTGCGGAAAAGTAACATTGAATTTAAAGGTGTTTTGACTTGAAAGTTCGTTTTGCATTTCTTCTTTTGACACTTTAAAATTTAAAGTTTAAATTGATATCAATCTTATAATTAATAATAGAGAGTCGATTCGAGGGAGCTGTGAACGAGTAAGTATAATTGACGTGTCAAACCTTTCAATAATTGAACAAGTATTTTGTCCCTTAAACCTTTACTTCAGAGAACCATGGCAGATATTTCATGAGGCTGCTAAGAATGGTGAGTCGGGAACACGGAAAAAATGAATTTAAAGTATAATTATTCAATGGAAACTTGATTGTTGTTAAACACAGGTGATGTACAAAAAATTGATGAATTATTAAGGAATGGAACGGATGTTAATATCAAAAATCCTGATAATGAAACGTCTTTATTTATTGCGAGCCAAAATGGTAATTTCACACTTTAAACACACAAGAGCCACAACAATGTTTCTCTAAAAAATAAAATACTAAAATAGAAGTCCATATTCAGAGAGAAACATTGTTCACGTTGAAGAGAAAAACTATTGTGGTTGACCATCGATGATGCGATTAATCAGCGAAATATTCAAATCTCTTTTTTCTTCAGGTCATTTAAATGTAGTTGAGGTATTGATTAAGAATGGCACTGGTGTTAACTTGAAAAATAACAACGGATCGTCATCAATGATGGTCGCCGCCAAGGAAGGTGATTTAAAGTTCAATAAATTTATCCAGAAAATATAAACTATAAAACATTTCTTAAGCTTTGTATCAAAACCATTTCGATAGG